TAATTAAAATATTGATTGCTTGAGCAAACGTCTTTATCATTACTACCATTTAGCAATTATAAAAAAGTAAAAAATAAATTAAATTAAATTAATGAAAACGATAGATCAACAAAAGGATAAAGAGTCTACGACACTTCCAAATTCTGTTACTTCTTTTTCAGAATTTACTAAGAACCAACAGAACACAAAAACGTGCCTTTTTTATTTGCAGAAAATATTTTTAGCATAAGTAATAAGATAATAATAATTCGTCGACGTTGATAATGATTTTGAAGATCCATAAAAGAGTGAAGTACTTGAACAATTGTTTTTTCTAATCAATCAATGAAAAATTTCGACAAATAAATGCAACTCTATGACAAAAAAAGGACGTCTGGGCCTCTATCTCTTGTTGATTGGAATGATAAATACCTCTAAACAGTATATTAATATAATATAGTTTATATTTTGTTGTGAGTGATCAAAAGTCGAGAGCTGTTATATGGTTGCTTACCAAAAATATTTTGGTAAAAAAAAATTGATTAGTGCATTAAATTTTAGAATTTTTCTTTATTATTTTTTTCTTTTTGTAATTAATAGCCTGAAATACATAATTGTTTAACCTGAAAAAATTATTAAATATAAATTTCTTTTTACAAAATCAACTTTATTAAATAAAAATGAAATATAAAAAAAAGAAAAAAAAAACAGTTTAGTATAATAAAAAAATATAAGTGATTGTTTTAGTTTTTTATTTGCATAATTTTTTTGAAAATTACTACATATCACTAGTAGTAATCATCACTAGTCCTAAGATTTGTTAAGGTTAGGGTTAGAAATTAGAGAATTATTTTTTTTTTTTATACAATATAATATAGAGCTAATATAAGGTTCCAATTTTAGTTTTTATGAGGTTTTAGAGGTTCTGAACATTTTTACTTAGAATATCTGATCCATTTACATAATACATTTACATAATACGTTTTTGAGATATAGCAATACCAGTGGTAATAAATAGCAAATTTCAATTTTTTTAATATAAACTTTAATTTTTTAAAAATTATTTAATAAATTTAATATCTGAATAAATAATTTTCTACAAAATAAAAAAATTTTTATAACAAAAATTTAAATTATACTTATTATATAGCAAATGTAAAAGATTCAATAACAAATCTAATTTTACTAAATAATGATTACAAAAACATTGCTTAATTTTTTAATATATTATTAAGAAATAGATTGCTAAAATATGAAGCTTGAAGATCTAAAATAGAGGTTGGAACTAGTTGTAAACTTAAAAACCTGAATTAAATTTGTATACAATATAGAACTAGTTGTTACATGAATTGATTCAAAAGTTTTTACAAGATAATTATTTTAATTATTTTTAAATATATAATTTTCTATTTTATTAGATCTTTATCAAGTCTTATACTTTTTAATACTAAATAATATATTATTTTATCTAATTTAATTAATTCTGATACTTGTCAAAATATTATTTTTAATTGACTAAAAAAGTTATTATTATTAATATTAATTTTTAAATTATTTATTAATTTATTTAAAAAATTATTTAAGTTTAATAATTCAAATACTATTTTTATTTTACTATAAAACTGATAAGTAACTCCTAAGAAATTTTACGCTGATTGATTGAAATATCACTTTTAATCTCAGTAATCACTCCAAAACTTGCATATGATTGGTTCAAAAACTTTTATAAATTATGCAAACTGGAAATTTTCGCCCATAAGATTGTGAAGATCCATGAGCATATTTAAATCATGTCATCGTTCATATTATCGGTTCTCAAAAAATGGGTTAATTAATAATGCCATAATGGATGAGCATTAATTATTTCAATCAATAGCAAATCACATCGAGCGTATTTCAGAAAAATGGATTTCCGTAATCTGTTGCGAGCTATGCTACTTATTCTATATCGAAAATAATTAGACTATCTGAAAGTCTATATAAAATTTAATATAGCATAATAACTGGTAAGTACAATTTACAGAATTCAAAATATAAAATAAAAATTGATCAGTGATCTTCATTACGCAACTTGCTATATACTATACGATAAATGTACCCAATAAAACGCGCGCATTATACAGTTATATGATATATCTGATATATACCCCGTAATATATTTGTATCTGCTAATGCTGGAAATTATGAACTTTAATACCCTGTAATAAAAACTACAGTTAATAATAATTGTAATGTTTCACAACATAACGATAATTCTAATTTTTTATTCCTACCTGAAGATTGATCTAATTGTGTTTGCGAAGTTGTATACTGACTATAAACCAAACATTGGTGATCTACAAAATTTAAGCGAACAAAACTATAATATCAAAAATTTATTCTGCTACTGCCACAATAGAGAACGAATATATATATATTTAATATTAATACCTTCTGATATAGTAATATTTATTGGTCCTGGTAATTGAGGAAAAGTTTGTGGACTGGTCGGATCTATATTTAATAAAAATTTTTAGTAGTTATTTTATAATTACTATACAAACGTTAAAGAATAGTTCGCCTCTGAAGGGTAAATAACAGAATAATTTTTAATAATATTGGAATAAGTGAGATTACGGTAAAAAATGCTTTTATTCTATTATGGTTATGATAAAATCATTAAAATCGGTTCAGATACATTGAGAGATTTTTGTTGCCAAAATCTTTCGACATACCAACATCTAGTGCTCCAGAACATAAAACCCGAAAATTTATGCACGACCCAAGTGATAAAAGTATAATGTGCATGAGCTATAATAAATTACCGGAAAACCGGTAATAATTTTAATAATACACGAGTAGAGATTTTCAAACCCGATTTTGTTCAAACAAATACGGGTTCAACCCCAAACCCGACCCGAATGACTCTTTCGGAGCACTACCAACATCTCAGTTTTTTTTACTACCCTTCAACCATGATTACCTATAACTTTTTTTCTTACCTGAAGTTAATAATTGTAATTTAACTGTCAGTAATAAAGGTCCTACAAGGAATTGACCTGTCAAAAATAATAAAATTAACGTTAACATATATTTATCAAATTTCTAAACATGGAAACAAAAATAAAAAGCCACGTATTTTCCATTGTATATATTAGTAATAAATGACTTGCAAATAATTAAGTGTATTGCGAAAAAAGAAAAACGAACAGCTTTTTATTTTTAACTTAATTGGTTAATCCATCGATAATTTCTTACCTTGCAATTCGTTTGTTTGTAAGTTCGCATGAAGATTATTGATCTGATCACCTTGCGATATGTTCGTATTATCTAATGCTGGTGATTGATGAACTAAATTTTATATAGAAAGTGATAAGGCAACAAAATTCAAATTAAGATAAGTAAAAAGGCAGCTATATTATTCATATATGCATACATCATAGTAAGAAAACAAATTTACCGCCTGATGGACATGCATTCACATCGTTATAGTAAGCGGAAGAACTTGACGGGTCTCCTGTATGGCGTTGATGTTTTATATTATAGGTTGTAGAGCAATATAAGTTTCAAGTTTGCATAAGATTTTTTGTAAACAAAATGAATGATTGACACGCCACACATAAAGAAAAAATGATGCAACGAAAATTTTTTAAGTTACTGAACAATGCAACTTCCTTCTTCAAAAAAATAAATATCATCCTCTATTAATATTTTTATGAATTTTAGTTTAGTAAAATGGCTTGCTTAAAGTTCTATTGTTATTTTTGATAGTTTGAATTCAGGATAGAGGATGATAATAACAGAACACAAGAACCTCACTTTTGAAGAGGATAAATTTACTGGTTGCTATGTTCAGTTATCTATGGTAACTTAAAGTGAGTATATCTAATATATTAACGTTGAGCATAAAATTTTTACAAAACAAAAAGCCAAACTAAAAAAATAAAGAAATAAAAAAATAAAAAAAAAAAGATAGAAAAAAAAAAAGGGTTGCACTTGCTTTCCATTGAAGGTACGTAAGAGCATTCTTTTTTAGAATCGTTGCAATATCTGCATGGCTCTTCGCCAATTTTGCCTCCGAGGCATGCTTTTTTTCGTTTACGACAAATATCGCACGCTTGGACTTTGCGTCTTTTAACTTTATATTTAGTTTCTAGCATATTTAATTGAACTAGAAAAAAGTAGAGAAAGAGTAGCAAAGCTGAGAAACTACAACGTCCAAAAGTTGTTAATCATCCGAATTCTTTGATTGTGTAAAAAAAAAATAAGGTTTCAAGGTAGCCATGCAAAAAGACTAAAATTTTTATTGCCATATAATTTTGAGCGAAAAAGATTAGACAAGCCTTAAGACCGATCGTATACAGGGATAATAAAATTTTGTAATGTAGTGGTATAGAAAATAGACTTGACTTAAATAATGACAAAATTATAAAGGGGAAGAAAATCAATGTTTTTATTTTATTATATGTCACATTTAGACGAATACATAATAGGTAATAAAAATTTTATAAAAACTCGACGTGTAAGCCGGGATATTTTACATAGTTTTGATTGGATCTATATTTATATATTAGTCACAAACAAAATTAAAATTTCGAAACTGATTTAATGGAACTGGTATGACAGAAAACCATGTTTAATATACTTGCTTAATGTTTGTAACTATTTTTTAATATTAATAAGCATTTATTACTTGGTTGTTCTTCAAAATAATTAGGATTTTCGAATCTCTACTATTATTAAGCATCGGTTGTATGCAAATTTACAAATATAATACTAAACAAAAAATTAGATTTTAATTTTAATGAGAATTATAAAGTAAACAAATAAATACGTACGTACGTATGTATGTATCTAAAAAGTAGTATGATTCCCCGAAATATATTTTTGCATATTTACAGGGCATAAATGTATACATAAGCTAGTGATTGGCGTCGTAATCATGTGATGCTAATTGTCACGTGGTAAAATATATAAAAATCAACAATCTAATTGT